TTTTTTTTTTAATCAGTAAATTTAAAATTGGTGGATAACAATGATAATTAGATTTTAGCATAAAAAAACAATGATTACTGGTGGATTAACCATTACAGAAACATACAAATGATTTTGTAATTACCAATAAGGTTAATTTAGGGCAGCTGTGGTATAAAGCTTACACTGGGTGGTGACCTAATAAACTGGTTAAACACTGTACATGTGCACTGACTGTTAGCTTGAAGCTAACTACTGACTGACACTTTTAATTTACTCAGATGAAGATGTTATTGCAATGTTATTCTTTTCCCCAATAACATAATTGAGAATTTGTCTCTTTTAACATTTGTAACAAACTTCAAATGTCAAATTTACTCCAAACAAATTTTAGAATCAAATATCGTTAGCAGCTAATAGCAGGATTTTCAAAAACAATAAATTGTTTACTTGCCAACTGAGTACTCAACCAGTTGTGCTTCCGCCATGTGTGTGAAAAAATCTATAGAGAATGTGCGAGAATGACACTTCATATCCAAGCTGAGGTCTGCTGTGCTGAGAAGTGAGAAACAACTGGAGAAATGAACACCTGGTTGTCTTAATTACTGGTGGCATCAAGCAGAGAGCTTGTCTCTGCGAAAATGCTCGTCTGCTCGCCGGCTTTCTCGAGCAATGTGCTGTCTCTGAGACAACATCAAAAGAAGTTTCTTTACAAGGACACGAGTATCGACTGTGCATTCTCAGAGTGGATAATCAGCTCTCTCATAATAAAGCAGATCCTGTCCGTTCTCCTCCTGCGATGCCACTTCATTGGATAAAAAAACTATTCAAATGCGTTTGTTTGCACTGCAGTTGAAGCAAATGTAGTTGCCTCACCATTACAACAAGGTTGTAAGAATCAATAAAAGATTAAGTTGTCAAGGTTGACATTTTTCGAACATGCACGTCATTGTGTCAGGGTTTTTGTTTCCAATTTTCATCCTCCAATCCCGCCTTCTTTTCCATAAGTCCTTCTTACTTCTTACATCCCTCCTCCCTCCCTCTCCGTGCTCATCCATCACGTTGCTCTATTGATCGCATCTCAGGATTATCTTATTCAACTTGGTGTCTAGGAGAAGACGCTTGTCATGGCAGATGCACTATTGATTAGCTATAACTAGGACCTTTTTGTGACACACACACACGACTGCGCGCTGTGAACACAATAGGGAAGAAAATGGAAACAGTTGGGTTTGAGTAAGAGAGGACACACTGTCCCTATGTTGTGAGCAGTATGTGTGTCACTGTATCAGCAGGTTTAGTCTTATACAGAAAAAAAGTGCATATTTAATTAGTGCGAAGGCGTTTTTTGCTTTCAGTTTGTCCTCTGTGTGGATGTACATAACTTTGTCCTTTTTTCTCAAGAATGCAATATCTCAGAAATGCCTTAAGGGATTTTCTTCAAGTTTGTCTTTAATGTTCACCAGGACCCAAGGTCACTGTGACCTCTCTCAGCCATAGCTTAAGAATTCATACGCTAATAATGACAACATTTCAAGCTGCTGTCTAATAGAATAAAATGATAAAATGATGACATTTTATATCCAAAAAGGTCACAATTTTACTCCAGTATCAAAATGTTCTGCAAAAACACTTTTCTAGCCATTATTCAGCACAATAACTCAAAAAGAGAGAGAAGGGGAGATTGTAACCATATTTCACATTTGGTTCCCTGCTGGATTGGTCACACTGATTATGGATGCCCGTCTTAAACTTTTAGTTCTGTCAGAATCACTTTTCTCAGCCACACGTGTGAACAAATGTTCTTGCATTTATCTCTTATTGAACCTACGCGACAAGAGAACGACAAAAACAAGGCTTTACAAATTCAAGTCAAATCGATTTCAATCTCTAGCAAGTGACAACCTTTGTCTAGACCCTCAATTCAGATGGAGAGACAAAGCAGAAACATGCTTGCATACAACCAACAGGGGATCCTTCTATTAGTAGTGCATTTATTCTGCATAGAGTTGGTGGAAGGATACTGATACTGTGGAATTGTTGGTGGGAACTGTCGCCATTTAAGATAACCTTAAATGTATCTTTGCTGCTCACCTCATTTTCTCTCTGTTTTGCAGGATGGCCAATCCAGAACAGTAAGGCAGTTCCAGTTTACTGATTGGCCAGAGCAAGGCGTGCCCAAATCGGGGGAAGGATTCATTGATTTTATTGGCCAGGTGCATAAAACCAAGGAGCAGTTTGGGCAGGATGGCCCAATCTCTGTCCACTGCAGGTAATGTTGTCATGTGCATTATATGGCTTGTATATTTTATTTTATATTAATAATTGTTTTCCTAAAAGGAGATGACTTGTCGCCTGCTTTGCCTCAAACCGGTCTCTAAAGACATTCTTCTCTTCTTGAAAGCGATATAAGTCTCAAGACGAGATTAAATCTCTTCTTAAGATGGTTATTGTTTTGCAGCAGAGCTCCTCCTAAGGCGCAGCTCTAACAACATCCCTCTTCTCCTCTTTGCCAAGCGCAGTGCACTACCTCAGCACCTCCACGGGCCCTTCTCTTTCATAATTGATAAGCCTCAGATGTGGCTTGGCATTTGCAAGGAGAAGACATATGAAATGATACAGCCATTCTTTTGGGGGTTTTACGATCACTGCGTGGTGCATTTTTATCACCTCCGGTGTAGTTTCCAAGGTAACTTTCACCATTAACTCGAGATGCTGTATTACAGGTAGTAATTGATATTTGGTAGTGGTCACCAGCAGAACGTCAGATTATTAATATTCATAACCCTGAGTGGGATCCGTCTGAATGACTTGTGATTCTCAGTAGCCAAATGAGGACAATCTTCACGGCTTTGGTTCTGTATACGCTGCGAGACAAGCAAAGACGGAATGTATGTCTCGTATATGATCTCCGACACACTTTTTTTAAACGTTTGATTGGCATTCAGCTCCAAGGATACAAATGGGCGAACACTAATAATTCCCTTGCTGTCTCTTAAAAATACTTTACCTTTGGAGCAGAATAGGTGTCACTTTTGCGCCACATTTCTACTGCAGAGGCGCCATGACATCATCGAATGTAGCATAACGTCCTTTGGATTAAAAAGCAATGATGTCACCAGCCATCAAATGACCCTCTGGGAGTTGTCTCGGACTTGTGTCAGGCTAGCACCACTAAGACTGAGTTATTCTACCCCTCTGTGAAGCCTTTATGGGAGTGCTGTCCTTAAAGTGAAAGGCCTGGTTATTGCAGGACTGGAGTAATGCACAAGAAAGCAGACAGAGGCTGCATTTAGCGCCTAAATAAGTGATGCATCTCATCAAATGCGGTCCTGATTTTGAGGCGTGCGCGCGAGTAAACACAGCAAAGTGTTTTATGTCATTAGAGTTCGATGATATTAATCAGGGAATCATTTTGCACCGATGTGTAGCTCGAGTAGTTGAGTAGTAATAGTTGTTGGCTGCATTATCTGTCGGGACTCTAGCTACCTCCTTTCCCATCTAATCATTGTAGCCCTCTCAACTTTCTCCATCCCTCCTCCTTCAGGCTTAGTCGTTTCCGAGAGTAGAGCTTATAGCTTCCTTTTCTCTTACTCTTTCGTCTTCTGTCACCCGCCTACCCCGTTCGTCAACTGCCTGTCTGTTTCTTAATCCTCGCTCTCTCTCGCTTCCTCTCGGTCCATCCATTCTCCTGCACCTCTTTTCTTTTATTCTTCTCCCTTCCTCCTCAGCGTCTATCTAATAGACCCACATGCTTTTTGTCATTAATTGCCTGATTACTTCCTGTGAATGGGGACACCAAATCCTCTCAGTCTGCAGTGGCTCGGCGAGCCTTCAGATTTGGAGAGTCGATCTTCCTGGGGAGTGGGAGAGGTTGAAAGAGAGTGAGAGAGAAAAAGAGAGAGGGGGGAGCTCTGAGTGAGTTTAAGAGCCCATGTGACAGTCTGTGACTGACTCCCATGAAGAGGCTTTGGGTGGGCTGAGAGATACTGCAGTGTGGGGGTGATTAGGCTCCTGTTTCTTTTTTCATTTAATGGCGTCAAACAATACCAAGTCATCTTTTGTCTCAAGTGCGCCGTTTTCCTCCAGCAGACACACGCAAACTTGTCAACAAACTCATGCACAAGTCAAAAAAGTGTCTCCCAGCAGCCGTCACTTCCACTCTCCATTCAGACAAAATAGCATCAGAGGCTGGAAGAAGCCCAAATAAATCTGTTGTCATATCAATTATTGTTCCATTGGTGAAGTGGAAGTCATTTCACAGCAAAGCAGCTTAGAGAGGCAGCTCTCAAGTATTTCAGGATCTGAGTTAAGACTCGGGCTGTATTTCTGGAGAGCAGCAGAAGGCTGAGTTTTTCGACACATGGGAGGAGGGACTTAATGAGACAAAATGTTTGCTTGGTCGCTTGTGTGCGACTTGAAATGTGCGCCTATGTGTCCTTGGGCTTGTGTGTGTGTGTGTGTGTGTGTGTGTGTGTGTGTGTGTGTGTACGTGTGTGGGTGGGTGGAGAGATGGAGCAGGACATCCAAACATTTGTGTGGATTCACGAGGTTCTCACATGCAAATTGCCTCCTTTGCTAGTGTCACTGGTGTTTTACCGTGGAGCAGAATGTCCAGCTGTGGAAGTTTGCT